CGTAAGCGGTGGCATATGGTTCGATTGACAGAGGAGTGGGGAACGGTCAGACGTAGGGGAAAGGTTCAGGCTGAACCGTTCAGCACAGCGCAGCGCAGTGTCAGTCACCGGGTGGGGAAGAGAGTCCGGGAGGGGACACTTCCCCTCGAGTGAAATAGAAAAAGGCAGAATCCTTCGAAGTTTATATTAATGATATAAATGTATGTTTTCTGGGGTTCATGCGGAAAATGAGAGAGCCCGTATGCGAAAATAGAGTCCCTTTATACTGAGAGTAAAGTCAAAGCGAATCCATTTCTGATCGGTTCCCGTATTTTAGGTCTTCACAGTGTCACAAACGGGAATAAATATTACATTTTCATCAATTGCAAAGATTATGAACTGGAATGGACCGGGGAATCGGGGGTACGGCAAGGAACAAATGGAATGAGAGAGGGAACGGAGAAAGGAATTCGGGAATAGGTTGATCAAAGATTACAAAAAACGTCCGATTCGTGTGATCTTTATTCCCGTTTGTGACATCCGTAAGCCGCGTTGTCTCAACTCTCTCTATAAAGGGACCCTATGCCAGAGAACCGACGAAATCACTGAACTCAGGATATCCACGATTTAATGATTGTGGATGAATACTACCGACAAAATGTGTGATCCTCCATGAGAAGACTGAGGGGACTCGGAAGGGTTTGACGTGGGAGCTAACAGCTCCAATATTCAGGAAGCTCTTTATATTATTGAAACTTGTAAAAATTCTGCGAGGGAAAGATTTCATGATTCAATCGTGTCATGAGAATATGGCTAATGTCCATTTTTCCATTCTTAAGTTTTTCTAGGTTGGAAACACTTTTCAGAGATAGGTGCAACGATTAAATGGTGCTAATACCCTTTTTAGGGTTATTTTAATCCCAAAACGAGTCCTTGCACCACTCTTATGAGTATCAAATCCATAACCCCTGACTATTGAACTTTTTAAAGTATTAGTAAAACAAAACAAAAAAACATAAAACTGGAAAACGGACATTGGCGGTTTCCGTGCGACGCATTATTTATCAAATGCATACATCATACAATGCATTTGAAACTAAAGGTATTGTGATTTTGTGCGTCGATTAGATAAAATGAGTACCGTAAGTTAGAAACTAAATTCGTTCAGCACTGCTAACAGATCGGTATAAGGTCTTAACAAAAAATTTTCAGTCTTTCACGCTGAGGAATTTTCAAAACTTTGTAGAACACCGCGTAAAAAATTTATTTACCACCATACTTTACATAATGCGCACGTGTGAAACAAGTTGCAAATTTGTAAAGTTTACTAAAACGCCTGCAACTAGGGACGACCTCCCTCTATTGAAGCGAAACAATGTCACCAACACCCTGCAAACTTTAACTTGGTTTTTCTAAATTTCACGACACTATTGAACCGATACATTCGTACCAAAAATACCTTTGAGATCATAAGGTGGCGATACAACGAGGCTTTCTAACTCAAACGGCTCTTTGATACAACTATTCGTCTTTAATGGATGTGCTTGAAGTATCATCAAAATTGAAGGCGAAATAAGATATTTGGCCGTGACTCCAATTTCGTGTTATGCGCTTAAGGACGACGTTCTGTCAAAACGAAGAAATTTTCCTTGACATTTAGGCAAACTTTATCTTAGTTTTTTCCAAGTTCACGAAACCTAAGCACCGAGAAACTTGCGCCAAAAATACCTTTGTGATGTAAAAAATCACACGTTGCAAAGAGAAAAAGACTCTCCAACTCACTCGGCTCTTTGATACTACTATTCGTGTCTAATGGATGTGCTTGAAGTATCATCAAAATTGAAGGCGAAATGAGATATCTGGTCTTGACTCCGACCTCGCTCGGACTACCTTCTTCTCGGACCCCTTTATCCCGGTCACTTCGACCCGGGTCACCACCACCTCTAAATCGACTCTATTTTCCAGGAGCTCGACAGAATTGTTTTCTTTTTGGCTTTGACTCGATGGACACTCTAAGAGTTTTTGCACGTGACTCGTCAAAAATGTAAACTCGCTCTGCCTCGCCGTTCTGATCGGGAAGCACAAAAATAGACTCAACCAGTCGCAATGTAGTCTTCGCGATGCATTAGGGAAGAGAGTGCAGCCGCCAGTAGAGAGTTTCCGTCTATGATCAGTTTCATGCTCATCTCTATGTTTTTTGGTGCATTGTCAGAATGGATAACTGTCTTTATTAATTTTTAGCCAAGTAAAAGTGCCGTAATTTATTTTTTGAATATTATTTTTCGTTTTCTATTTTTTTTTCTAGTCCGAGCGTTATTTCCATATTTTTCATTTTTCTAGAATCATTTATCGGCCTCCATTCA